ACTTATTTATGCACGTTGTCATGTTATGGTGAAAATTAGTAAATGATTGTATTAGTGCAGACTCAGAGAACTGAACCTATATGTCCAACCATGACTTGTTTAAATAGATTTTGTCAATGTTCAATACCATACTGTGTGTATCATAAGAGTAATGGTGAAGATACATATTTTTCTTACTGTAGCAGCTCAGCATAAAGACAACACACAACTTTGGTTGAAACAAAAACAAAGTGCTGATTTATATGGATTATAGCACAAACGGTTCTATTTTACTGTAGCTTCATACAGAATGTTTGATGATGGCAAATAAACGTACGAGATCCCTCAACCTGTCACAGTATCATTCAGTCTGAACCTGATTTTTTGCCGCAGTGAAAATAGAAAAATACAACTTCAAATGAAACGCCAATAATATCAGCGACAGTATTAGTGTCAGTATAAAGTGAATCTGTAAGTGTGTTGGCAGCGAAATATGTTTATGAAGTCAGTGCTCTGCCATGTTTCCAATTAACTTACACAACTCTCTGGAATTTTTTAAGTCCAGTTTCACAATAATGCAAATTAACATTCTCCCTTACAAACCACGTCCCAAGTATACATGCCAATCATTAGAAAATAAAAGCAATAATAAACAACAACAGTTTTGCTCTTTACTGCGACTCATCTCCAGAGGTGCTTTAATCTTCACCGTTACTACATTACTTAATAAAGAATACAAATAAAAAATCCTTAAACAGTTACCATCAGATGTGTTTATTTCTAAACTGCCCCACATCATCACGATAACAGTGACACTTTGTGCAGCACTGCCATCTAGTGGCTTTTGGAAGGGAGGAAATAAGGATCTGGTGGTTAACTGTGTCAAATGCAGCAGAAAGGTCCAGAATGATGAGGACAGAGGAGAGAGAGGCTGCTCCAGCAGTGTGAAGATGCTCAGAGACAGCAAGGAGTGCAGTCTCAGATGAGTGGGATGCCTTGAAGCCAGACTGATGAGGATCAAGAAGGTTGTTCTGGTGAAGTTAGGGAGAGATGATTAAAGATGGCATGTTCAAGGAGGTTGGAAAGTTTTTTGGGGTTGGGTAATGAAGAGTTATATTATTATTGATAAAAAAAAATCAAGACAGAAAAGGAGGAGAGTATTTATTGGATTTATGAATTGCCTTGTGGGGTATAAGACCTGGAAGCTGGACATTCCCCACCCATGTTAAAATGTTTCAAACAGCGCAGAATAAAAATGTCTTTGCTAGATATAAACAAGAGCAGCACTTATTATTGTGTATTTGTGAGCACTTCTGATTCAGTTTCATTAAGTTTTATCAAAACACTACTACTGTAGTCACAAATGCTACTACTGTAGTCACAAATACCCCCAAATGAAATTGGGCAACACATCCTATTTTGAGAAGAACAAAAGCAAATATAAAAAACTTTATCAATAGTCCAAAAACTAGTCAATCCCCACCCTTTCAGCTTTTCACAAGGGCTTAGGAGTCAAGATTTATTTATTTGTCTTTATGTTATTATCATTACATATAAATTAGACTTATTTCATTTATTGTTCTGGTAACAGAGCTGCTCGTCATATTATTTTTTAATCAGCTAAGTGTGAAATTCCAGTGCAAAAATGAATGGAGTCAAAAATGTAGTTGATCTGATAAATGGAAACATTGGAACCAACAAGAAAAGAGTGTATGTTTTCATGTTGCCAAACTGTCACCATCACATGAATTTAACAGTAGCTCAACAATGATATTTTCAGTGATAATCATTGACATTGTGAAATTTTATTCCACACTCACTGTAAAATGTAGGTGATTAGTATTCACTTTTCAGCAGATGCAGGTGAAAATTATAGTGGTTAAGACACTCACAAAAAAATTCAACATACGTTTGTCACAGTTTAATAAAACTTCCTTATTATACAAAGGCATCTGATGTGGTTTTGTTCATTCTAAAGTGAATAAAATATATTTATGAGGCAAAAATCTAACTTAAAACTTTTGCAAAAATAACTGTCACAGAAACCTCATACATGCAAACTAACAGACAATCAAAAGAGAGCTGTGATTTGCTGTCAATGCAGACATCATATTAGTGTGATATTAAATGTTTCTGCAGAATTGACTAGAAGTTAACACCGTAGCTGACAAATGACATGTATAACTTAACACAGAGCAGCCAGATTCATATATACAGAATGTTACATAGGTATGAGCTGTGTTTTTTCCCTCCGAACATGTCAGAGGTGCCTATTGCATGGGTTACAATTCTGAAAACATTGTCACGACACTGAAATGACTAATAGATTAATCAAAAAATTATAAAGGGACCTAATCCATGTATTTACGAATTGAAAATGATGCAGAGACACTTGTGGCAAAAAAGGAAAATAGTAGTTTCTTGTAAACATCTGTCTTTTGTAACAAATGGAGTGAACAAAGAAAAATGAAAAAATAAAACACCAGTCATTGGTGCAACTTTGTACAATACTGTATTACCACAAAGAATACGCGCCACTAAAAGCACAGACATGAAGTGATTTTAAAAGTAATACCTCAATAAATACATGACTAGATTTTGAGATTGATTTTTGTTTATCAATAATACTTCAAGGTACAGTGTGTAGAATTTTGTGATATCTAGTGTTGAAATTGCATGTTGCAGCTGAACACCCCTCACCTCACCCTCTCCTCTCAAACATGAAAAAGTTTAGTTAAGTTTGTCAAGTCTGGACTAATGTAAAAA